CATCATCATCATTATTATTATTATTTTCTTTGTTTTTTTTTTTAATTGTTACTGTCCAGGATTTTATCTTAATTTTAAACCCTTGAATTAGACATGGGTATTTGTTTCATACTATCAATTTTTGTGTTCACACAAGTTTAATATTCTTTTTGGCCCACCATTTCTTCTTGCTGTTCATACCTTCCTCCCTTATAGTTTAGAGAAGATGCTATCCTTCAATGGTACTAGACTGATGTGGGCATCTTGGATCCCATCTCCCACTCTTCTTGAGCCCTAGACAAAGCCTAGGCTTTTTTTTCCAACGCTTTAAGTAAGTATACAGCCTTTGTAAACCAAGGTCCTCCCTGCCAGGTGCCAGCACATCCCCTCAAGGCAAACTTCGAGTTTGCTTACTCTTGTGGAATCAAGCATCCTTGTCATTTCAAACTCTGAGTGTTTCCCTTTGTTTCCTGCCAGCTCAACCTTGCTTTAAGCAAATATTTTAAAATATATTATCCAGCATTGTTAGATGATCTGACCAGGAAGTTTTTCTCTGCAAATATTCTGTCTTATTCCCTAAATATTCTTAGGTAACTGTTTTGGTATTCATAGTCTTTGAACTGATTTCATATAATGGTTTTACTTACTGTGTATGCTCCATTACTGAAAAATGTAACTGAAAAAGCCATTTAGAAATCAAATTGGTTAACAAATTTTTTAGTCACAAATGATTTTTTGTCTATCATATATATTTATCATGTAAGTTAAGAACCATTTCAAAAGCTAAGAATAATTTCCAAAACACTACCCTTTTTTCCTGAACTCTAAGTATAAATATTGACTCTAACATAATGTATATTTCCCTTCAACACATTATAAAAATTTTCAAACATCTAGGAAAGTTGAAAGAATATATTTAACACCTAGATTCTATCATCATTTTACAATATTGTTTTATCACATATCCATCCATCCCCCTTCCTATCAATTCATCTTACTTTTTGTTGACGTGTAAAGGAAATACAGACATCAATAAATTCTACCTCAAAAATTTCACAAATATCATATTTTTATTTCTAGGCAATAAGTCCCCCTTTCCTAACATTTTGTTTACTATTTTTTAAGAACTGAAAAGCATGACTCTGTGCCGTAATCACCTAATACCATTTGAGTCAGAAAATAGTAGTCTTATATTTATGACGGGAAATCAGTAGAATAAATTAATTTTAATCCTTTATAATATACTTCCACATTGGGAAAATAAGCTTCATATGTGGCACATTCATTTGAAATGTTTACCCTTTTATTTCATCAATATCTAGAGAGTTCCTGTAATAGTTTCTATTTATTTATGATGAAAAGCTCTTCCTTTTTAACACTTTCCTCTTCAGTAGTTCTAGAGGACTATTCAATTTCATGAAGACCAAGAAGTGAACAACCAACTTCTGAACTTAACTTAGGCAGCTGAATTTGCCTTAGGCAGTGATATTGCCATTTATAATAAGAAATATGTATTTGGTCTTTGTCCCATTCCTGGCACAGAGCTCCTAAAATCCTTGGAACTTCCTAACTGAAAGGAGAATCTTTTGTTATTCATAACAAGCCCCTTTTAGCCACACTTGAGTTTGTATTACAGAGAAGACTGTGAAAGCCTCTAGGCTAGGGGCTGGTTGCCAGTGGAGACAAGCACTAGATTAGAGGATTGGAAATTTCAGCCCCAACCTCATATCTAGGGCTGGGGAGAGGGGTTGGAGGTTGAATTATTACCAATGGCCAATTATTTAATCAATCATGCCTATCTAATGAAGCCTGCATAAATATCCAAAAGGACTGGGATGAAAGAGTTTCTAAACTTGGTGAACATGTGGAGGTGCTCAGAGGGTGGCATTCCTGGAATGGGAATGAGGCTTTACATCCTTTCCCATATAACTCGCCTTATGCATCTCTTCATCTGGCTGTTCACTTGCATCCTTTAACATATTCTTTAAAATACCAGCAATAGTAAGTAAACTGCTCTCCTGGGTTCTGTGAACCTGAATAAGGGGTATCATGAAACTCCAACTGGTAGCCCAGTTGGACAGAAGTTGTGGGTAACCTGGGGACTTCCTACTTGGAAATGGCAGCTGACATAGGGACACTACTGTGGGACTGATCCATTTACATGTGGAGTCTGTGCTTACTCTGGTTAGTGTCAGAACTGAATTGAATTGTAGGACACTTAGCAGGTGTCTGAGAATTGGTCAGTGTGGGGAAAAAAAACACCCACATATCTGGTATCAGAAGTGTGAATATGAGAGTAAAGGAAAACACAATGAATTTTTTTCTACACACCTTCTATAGATTAAGTATCCAGCTTAATGATTTTATGAATTAGACTACATCACCTATTTAAAATTTTACTATCATAAACATTTTATTTAGCTATCATATATATCAATATTATACCCCTGCTTTCTATCTTCAATGTTAGGAGCAATGATTTACACTTACAGAAAGCATTTCTTTATGAAAATTTATCATTTTGAACACATATAAAAAGCTGTTAAGAAAGGACATGAGAAATATCTTTTAAAGTTTAGGTTTCTTTGGATTTGGAGGAAGCCTGTCAAGATAATTTTTTAACTTGCTTAAAGACAAAAAGATCCATAGTCTTCCTCTAATGTCAAGATAAAAACAAAATTATGAGCAAAAATATTTTAATAACTCACATAGATAATTGTTAATTATCACAGATTCATACTATGACCTCACATTTTATATGCTGTATGAAATTAAAATCAGTGTAGTATTTTTTTCCTTATCTAAAGAGCCTAATCTGGACTCAGGCAATCTCAGTCCTCAGCTTTACCAATTAGTGACCTTAGGTACATCTCTACTCTCCACGGTGCTCCTTCTCTTCATCTTTAAAATTCTTTACGATGGTCTTTACTATTTAGGATATACTCCATTACCTAATAACTTTTTTTTAGAGTATTAATATACTGGCTAGACAAGGTACAGGTTATAATGCAATTCTAGCCCTCTGCAAATACAAAAAAGTATTTGGCTAGTTTCTCTTCCCCTAAGTAAGAGAACTTCTTGGCAGCAGATTAAACAAACAAAAAAAAAATTCTAATTTAAGCTATTTCATTTAATTTCTTATAAACTTACTCTTCTTTTTTCATAATGTCATACATAGCCTACTGTCAAAAGAACTAATAAACACTCATTATAACTGAAACAATTGCAAAGCATGCAAAAACGAAAATGTGAAAAACATAGTATACCCTAAGGAAAAACATTCAATTCCGAGTATAACCACACAAAGCTAGAGTCTAATAATAATGACAACAATAGTGACCTTATCAAAATACATCCAAAAATTAATTTGAATACTGCATCTGAGGAAAAATCAATGAACAAAAAATTGCACATTAGTAGAATGTCTGAACATCAGCAGGATATGAGCATGCTAGGGCCCAGCACTGTGAAATGTAAAGCTCATGCACCACTAAACCACTGCATAAAGTCAGAGAAGCCAGACATAGTGAGGCCACCAAAAATATGCCTCCAAAACATCTGTTTCATTTAAATCAATCTTTTGGGGGTCTTTAGGGAGGAGGTGAATTCATTAGTTTTCTCCAGAAACAAGGAAAGCAAAATATAGTCAGAGCAAAGAACAAAGCCCTACGTCCAAATAAATGTGACACTGGTCCCAATATTTTTGGCATATGTTCACATGTAGAAGATTGCTTCATTCAGGATGAAGAGTCTCTTGAGATATGTTAAAGTCATTCAGATGAAAAGGCAAGATTCAATCACAGATTGTCATTCAAGCAATATATTAACATTTCTCAGCTTCCACAAAGACTTCCCTTTCCAAAGGCTTCCCTATTAGGTAGAGATTAAAGTGCCACTTAATAAATAGTTTATTTGTCAAATGATAATACCATCTTACAGTGTTGTTCTGAGAAAAAAAGGAGACATTATACATAAATTTGCTTGAAAGAGTTAAAAAGAAGTATAACAGATTATAAATAAAATCAAAATTCAATATTCAACTCGAAGTAGTATTTCCTTTTGGTATATGAAGTTAATTCTATTATCTCCTGTTATAAAATACATCATATATAAAAGTATACAATATATATTCAATTAAAAGAATAATAATTTTAATGTGCCCTGTTATATATTCTGCTCATGTTAAAAAAATGAAACATTACTAATACTTTGGAGGCTCCCATGTGCCAATTCCTATCATATTTCTCTTAACTCACCCTATATTATCCTAAATTTTGTGCTAATCACTTCTTTGATTTTATTTATAGCACTGACACATTTATATGTATCCTTAAACTATCTAGTCATCATCTATCTATATCCATCAATTCTCCTTCCATCCATCCATCCATCCACCTGCTTTTTGAACTTTATTATATGGAATATGCTATGTACTTGTCCTTCAACTTCTACAGTCTTTTTCTCAGAGTGATTTGACATTATTATCTAATTTTTCATAAAATCCCTAAGATTAAAGAAATCTATTATACCCTTTAGTGAAAATGAGGCACAGAGGGACTAGGAACTTGCCACATTATATGAGAGGACAATGGACAAATCTTTCTATAGTAATTCTGAAAGTAAAGCAAACCAATGACTATCTCAGAGCTTTATAGTATATTTATATTTTTATTTTCATTTAAAACTAAAACATTTCTCTAGTGCTAAGAGCACAATGAATATTTTAAAACTGACTTGCTCCCCCCCAAATTGACTATACATAATTAGTACTATTTGCTTTCATATTAAAGGGGCAGTTATATTCAAATGTACTGATGATATAAAAGCCCTAAACAATATTCAAATATATTCCTTAAAAGGAAAACAAGAAGAAATTAAAGAATATCAAAAGGAGATTTGTTTTTTTCCTTAGGAAATGGACTAGTAGAAAACAGCATAATTATGGAATATTCTAATTAAAGAAAATGGCTCATTAAATAGGTAATTAGTCTGACACTCATCAATTCCAAGATATTGTTCACCTGAGCAAGTGATGAAAGAATCTTCTTGCATATTTGCTGATTTCGTCTCTATATTCCAATATAGTTGTATCCAGGAGTGGTCTTGTTGGAGCATAAAAGGTTCCAAGGCTTGCCTCAAGCTGTGCTGTGGAATTCAAACATAGCAGCACTAAAACAAGTGAAACTCCTTCAATTACAACAGAATACTCATGTTTGCAGTCAGTCAGGTTTTGCAAACTTGGATGAAATGTGAGCTTGTTGCAGGAAAGATGAAATTAAAATATGACAGCTGGTACAAAAACAAACCTGTGTATAAACTTTCACTTGAGGCAAAGCTGACAATGACTCTGAGCAACAAAAAGCTGTCAAAACTGAAGAAATCCATAATGAACCAACCTCTCACCACAAATGGATAATTAAAACAGTGACTCATCAAAGTAACACAGTTTGAACTAGTATTTCCAGTAAAATCAATTCACAGTGTGCTCAACATTTATACTCTTTAACTGAAAGAAGAAAACAAACTTTTTTGCATTGGGAATTGAAATAAGTATTAGAAGTGTTTTAAAAATAATACAAATGAAAATAGCCCTATTGGAGTAATAATATCTTTCTAAGACAATTTTAAAGAAACAGTGAAAGTCCCCATACTTTCCCTAAATCTCATCCTAAAAAACAAGATTGCTGTTTTTGTCCAAGTGTGAAAGCTAATACCCCTGGGAGGGATGACATGCTAATCCGCTCTTGGATTAGCTCAACTGACACCTTTCTAGAAAAAAAAGGATTGGAGAGCAAGTTTTGATAAACCAGAGGGCTAGAGATTGGGAGAAAAATGCACATTCTGCCTACTTCATAATTTTACCAAGCCATGCCTTTGGTGTGTTTTCTCCCAGAAATACCTAGAAGTTATATAATTACAGTAATGGTGAAAGTTGTAGGAGAATGCTACGGTTCACAGTAAGACTCCACTGGCTTTTTTGCTACTAGTGCTGGACTGAATAAACAATTTCTTATTTAGCAAAACTCTTTAGTTTTAGGCATATTTGGGTTTGAAAGTATTAAATACCTCATCAGAGTAATTGCTATGGACTTGGCTAAGCTGTTAGTAATTTCTTTCTTTTAATCTCAAATCTAGACAGTAAAGTAGGATGAACTTTAGGGGTATTTTCTTTCAAAGCAGCAGTCAATTTAGATTAAAATTGAATACAGCAATGCTATTGTGAAAACAAGCCAGATCCTCTTGCCATTGCTTGTTTTCTTGACAGCATGTACTTCTGAAATGTTTGAGCCTACATGGGATACTCATAACTCCCAGAACAGTTACAGATTCATTAGATAGCCCAGCTTGATGTTTAAGGCAGAAATGAAAATCTCAAAGATAACCACAACACAGCTACAAATAAAAGAGCTCACTGGGTTCCACTAATAAAAGGAAAACAAATTACCATGTCAAATTTGTTAGATTCAGATAGAATAAATCTCAATACAGAAGGATTCTGAATGTTTTAGAAATGTATTTTACAGTTTACTTTGGGAATAATGCATATATCTACTTGAAATGTACATATTCCAATAATCCAGCATCATGCAAGTGTTTTAATAGCCTAGTATCATACAAACTTTTTATTTCCCTACCTTCCTAAGAACAGTTCCTTGAAAATATCCTTTACTAAAGCAAGAATCTGATAATGCCCATTTGTGAATTCCCTAATAATCTTTCTTACAACACAAATTCACCAACGTGCTAGGAATTTCTCAGTGTCCTGAGGGACAGTCAATATTTTATTTTCTCTATAATTTCCCAACTGTAAATTTAGGATCTCTTGTATAGATTGTATATACCGTATCAGGCTTTCTTTACGGACTCTGCCTTTTTTTTTTTCCTACTATGTACCTAATCTTGAGAGTGTACCAATATAACATATAAGTACTTGAGATAACTCTGTAGGCAGACATATTACAGTAATATCTAGCATTTTGAAGTTATACTTTTTATTTTTAACTAATATTCATTGAGTACCTACAGTAGGCCAAGCACCGTCTGTGCTAGGCATTTTCTCATTGTAGAAATACTGGACCCTCCACAGAGGGACTGGACTACCTCCAAAAAGCACATTCAATTAACATTAAATATTTATTGTGGGCCTCCTGTGAGTTGGGACAAATCCCATGATTTGAACTTCTTGAAGGAACACGCCCTCTAAAATTACTACAATGAGGGGCACCTGGGTGGCTCAGTGGGTTAAAGTCTCTGCCTTCGGCTCAGGTCATGATCTCAGGGTCCTGGGATCAGGCTCTCTGCTCGGCGGGGAGCCTGCTTCCTCCCTCTCTCTCTGCCTGCCTCTCTGCCTACTTGTGATCTCTGTCAAATAAATAAATAAAATCTTAAAAAAAAAAATTACTACAATGAAGGTTCTGTATAGAATTTTATCTAAACACCATGTAATAAAATGGAATAAGAAAATCTATAAACATTCAAAGAAAATAGGGAAAAAAGCTCTTCAGCAAAGACCTTTTTTTTTTTTTCAGCAAAGACCTTTTGACATATTTCCTGTTTTCTCTATCTTATAAATTACCTAGGGACAGTTTCTCATTGGCTAGGAATTCTCATCATTAATGTCAATGCTTCCTGCAAAGATTTGAAATAAAAACCCAAATGCAAGAACATTTAGCTGCATTTTACATTAAGTAAATGACTTATAATAAAAATAACATATAGTGGATAATTGGCAAATATGAAAATGAATTTCATTATTGTATGTGGCACATTATCGCCCCCCCCCCTTTTTTTAAACAGTGTCATATCTGAGAGTGCCTGGCTGCCTCCAGTTGGTAGAGCATGCAACTCTGATTACAGGGTCATGAGTTTAAGTCCCATGTTGGACCTACAGCTTACTTTAAAAAAAAAAAAAGAGAGAGAGAGAGAGAAACAAAACAGTGTCTTATCCAAGATCCTATGGGCAGAATTACTTACTAAGGTTTCCAAAGTAGAGAAATCCAAGCAGGCAGAGGGGTATCAGAACTACCAGTTAGAATGAAAACAAGGAGCAGCTGCCGGAGCTACAATTCTCAATCTCTCTCTCTCTCTCTCTCACTCACACTCAAACACAATCAGTGCTAAGGACTATTCTCTGGACAAAAGACTTGGGTGGGATAGAAAAATATTTGTCTAAAGTGAAGGAAGAATAAGGACTTTGTTTGGGGCCCTTTGTCTACCAGACCCTAGAGAATACATGTAATTCTTTTTTTCCCTATTTTTTTTTTTTAAGATTTATTTATTTATTGAGAGAGTAAGTGCATGTGCAGGTGCAGGGGGAGGAGTAGTGGGGGAGAAAGAGGGACAAGGAGCCTCTGCTCAGCGCAGAGCCCAATGCTGGGCTCCATCTCACCACTCAGGGATCATGACCTGAGCTGAAATCAAGTCAGATGGTAAACCAACCAAGCCACCCAGACCCCAAGAGTACATGAAAATTTTTTTTTCTGGATACCATTAGTAAGTACCTGAAATTCTTGATTAAAGTTTGAAATTTGAGCATATTGCACACATGAACTTAGACTGAAAAGTACAATGACTGCATTGTAAGTTCCAACATAGGTATACAAACACGTTACTCTTTATGTTGACAAATACTATACAGTAAAGTACCATAAAATTATTTGGTTACCTGATCTTGTCAGTTTTAATAGGGCGTTAACATTTTTGTCTTTTGGTCTCCAATAACATAACTCAAAAAATCCTCAAAAGATAACTGATTCAATAAAACATACTTCATATATATACACAACCAACTTATGAAATACATTTCATGTCTGACCTTCTCTCTCTGGAGTGAGCTTTTGTCTAAGAAGATGGTTTACAATGGCACTCATGCTGATAAAGCACTGGTGGCCCAGAGTGTCCCAGTCCATACTGCTCAGGATGTTTATTGCCTCACAGATCTCATCACAATGAATATACTGGAATATGATGTCTGTCAGGCCTAGCTGTCCTCGTGTGAAGACACCTGTCACAAAAAAAGTAAAACCAAGTGATTCTTCTAAAAATAAAAAGTAGACTAACAAAAACAGAGTTAACATTTCCTTAAAGGAAAAAAACAGTAATCATTTCTTGCATAAGTGCTAGAAATGTGGGATTGGCAAGGCCAATAGTGATTCTTTGGTTAAATCTTCATTTTGAATACCAGCTACCAACTCCATCTATCTTATGCCTATCAATCAGCATTAATTAATTTGTACTCAACATAATGAAACTTACACTAAAAATGAATGAACATGAGAAGGATGTTCAGGTAGACCACAATAGTTAACTCTATTTTTCCCATCAGTTATTTAGATCCCTGTTGTATACATTTAAAGACAGGTTTTTTGATATGAACACAATTCTTACCAACCAGATTCATCAGTTCTAGGTTGTTTCTAGTTGTCAGCCCCACATACTTTGGTGTGGGTGTGGGTAAGTACAAATATCACAAATATGACTATATAAATACTTTTAAGTCTGTTTTTTATTAATGGGTACTCTCAATTAATAGTTTTTTCATAGCTACCACATACTAATTTATCTTAAATTGGCATTTAAAGACTACTCTATTGAAGTAAGAAATGCTCAGTATTAATCCTGCTAGTGATGCCCTTCACAACTAATATTTACTTAGAAATATTCTTGGTATAATATAAACACATTTGTTTGTCCTTCCAAAACGAAAGAAAATCTAATTCCAATCTTAGAGGACCAAGACTACAAAAAAAAAAAAAAAAGTGAGTCATTCTGTTATAATTTCATCATTTTTATATAGGCTTGATCTCATTTGAAACTAATAAACTAATGATTTTTGTGCAATAAAATGACAGTATTAGGACTTTTGAGCATTTTTTTAAAAATCTTTAAAAAATGGCTGGCTATAAAATCCTTTTCTTCAGCCAATGTTTACTGATTAGACTGAGTCTATAAAAAATTCTCATCTCAGTACAAATGATCATAAAGCTAAATGAGAAAATGTATGTGAAGTTATTTGTACGTTGTAAAGCATATAAAATATTACTGTAATTCTTCTTTTTATTACTATCATCATCATCATTTAACTGGAATAGTTATAGGATTTAGGATTTTTAAAAGTATATTAGTTCATAAGAAAGATGCCGAAATTCTTCTTATTAACTTCAAGTCACATCAAAATGAGAATTTGTGCTATATCTGACAGGACTCAACTTGATAGGGAATCTGGGGAATTGCCCTGACTATACTAAGCAATAAAACCTTATTATTCTTTTTGTGTTGGTAGAATCAATGAATGGTAATATCCAAAAGCCTTCATGAGCCTGCAATCAAGCATTGGAAGCTCTCATAAATCAGGGTGGTTCCTTGGCAGTAGATATTAATATGTAGGAACTTTATAGGGAACCAAAAGTATCTGAAATCTGTTTACTCCATCTATACCCTAAGCAATACTTCTAGCAAGAGAAGGAACTGACCTGTCAAGTAAAAAGACTAAAATATGGTCATAATCAAATTGCTCAAAAGATGATAAAGAGAAAATCTTTAAAAGTAGCCAAAGAAAAAGACACACATAAAAAGTTATGAAAAACTGAAAACTTTGCTTCTGAAATCATGTTAGCCAAAAGACAACAGCAGGATTTTTTTAAATGCTGAAATAAAAATGAATGAAACTAAAATTCTATATCTTCATAATAAAGAGTTGAAAATTCATGAAGAATCATAACAATCTTTAAATGTACCTAATAACAAAGTTTGAAATAATAAAGCAAAGAGTGATAGAACTAAAAGAAGAAAGAGTCAAAACCACAATTATAATTGGATATTTCAGCATTTCTCCCTAATTGAGAGAAGAGGTAAACAAAATCAGCAAAAATAGAAAATACTGGAAAAACACTATCAATGAATTTGACCTTACATTTATAAAATATTTCACCCAACAACAGCAAACTACATATTCTTTTTACATGTACATAGACTATCAACCAAGATAGGGTATATTCAGGGCGATAAAACAAGCCTCAATAAATTTAGCTGCTTTGAAGTCATACAGAATAGTTTCTCTGACCACAACAGAAATTAAAATAGATAATACAGAAAAATGTCTGGAAGATCTCCAAACATTTAGAAATTAATCAACATTCTTTAAAAAAAAAAAACAAACTATGATTTAGGGGTGCCTGGGTGGTTAAAAGTCTGACTTTAGCTCAGGTCTCAGGTCATGATCTCAGGGTCCTTGGATGGAGCCCCACATTGGGCTCCCTGCTCAGCAGAAAGTCTGACTGACTCCCCTTCTGCCTCTTCCCCTACTTGTGCTCTCTCTACCTCTCTTTTGGATAAATAAAATGTTAAATAAATAAATAAACAAACTATGATTTAAAGAAGAAATCATAGGGGCACCTGGCTGGCTTAGTCAGTAGAGCATACAACTCTTTATCTCAGGGTTATGAGTTCTAGCCCCATGTTAGGGGTAGAGATTACTAAAAAATAATAATAATATTAAAAAAAATAGAGAAGAAATCACCAAGTAAATTTTAAAATATTTTGAAATGAGTAAAAATAAAAATATAACAATGAAATTTGTGAGATGCAGCTACAGCAGTATTTAGAGGGAAACTTGTAGCTTTAAATATTTTTTAATTAGAAAAGAAAAAAGATCTAAAATCAACAATCCAAGCTTTATGTTAAGAACCTTTGGAAAGAAGAGCAAATTACCCCTAATGTAAATGGAAGGATGGAAATGATGAAAATAAGAAATAGAAAATAAAGAATACCAATGAAATCAACAGATAGTTCTTTGAAATGATGAGTAAAATTGACCAACATCTGTCTAAATTGATAAAAAAAAGAGAGCAGACACAACTTACCACAATCAAGAAGACTACAGAACTACAGACATTAAAAAATTAATGGGGTAGGAGAAGAGTAAATGAAACAAGTTGGGATTGGGAGGGAGACAAACCATAAGTGACTCTTA